CAGTATATTCAATGAATTGGGAACAAAAATTCTTTCTACTTGGTTAGCTTCCTGCTTCCTAATATCATTTCTATAAATCAAACCATATTTGTCAACAGTAAAGCTATTATAGATAATATTATGTTGGCTCAAAAGCATGCCCATAATTTTAATTTTAGAACTTTTGGCCATAAAATCATATTTAAACTTTATATTTTCTAAATTTTATGATAGCCTTAATTGGAAATTTTTACATGATATTTTATGTCTTATGGGGATAAACATTTTAGAAATGATATTTTTTATTAGATTTAAATAAAAATTTAACTCTTAATAAAATATAATGGAGAAAAATGATTCATATAGCTGCCCCTACATATATAATGGGAAAAAGGCTTGTTTTCTTTGTTGGGTATGAACACAATATGCTCAAAACTTATAAGAAGAACATAAAAAATATAAGGTTTAAGGCAATGTACACTTATCTCCATAAGCCTTTTTATTATTGCCATTGAATATTTATCTAGAGGTCTAACCATTTTTTTAAAAATCACCATAGATTAAAATATCATAATTAGAGAGGCCTTTATATTTCACATTTATGTTATGCTAATATTATAGTTATATTTACAAATGAATTTTTTTTAATAGTAAATCATCTCAGAAGATTTTTAGCCCTCTATTTGAATAAGAAAGTGGCCTTTATATTAATAACAAAAAAGTTACTTTATTCATGGCAAAGCTTTACCTAACAGAAAAAATCAATACATAGAAAGATATTATGGGCTTTAAAGTTAAAAGTTTGACTTTTACTTACTTGGCACCCTTTGTTTGAAGAGTAAGGCCTTCTATCAATAATGGTGCTTGGGATGCTCTAAATCTAATTGATCAACTCTTACTGCCATTATGAATCTTATTACTACAATTCCTATAGAAAATAATGTGCTAAACTATTTAATATTTAAACTTTCTTAATCTAGGAAATTCAATTTGGAAAATGTGTAAGAGGATATCCAAATGAGATATAATCCCTGTAAAAAAAAATTGTTATGTTCTATCTTGGAAAATTCTTTAAGGCTTTATCCCTATGGATGCTTGTCTTCAAAAGAAGATTTTTCTTATTCCCTCTAAGTGTGTCAATATTGCTTTCAAGTGAAATATATCCCACATGTATTAACTAATGGTGTAGTACCTTCTAAAGTATAGTTTCAACATGATTAGCATTTTAATACTTCATAATAATGCTTCATGCATGTTTTAATATGCTTTGGTCATGATTCTTTACTGGTGGTGGTAAGGCCAAGGCTCCCATTATAATAATCATTAATGTTCTTATTCTAAGATATTTATAGTTCAAAAGAAATGAGACTGAACATAAATGTCTTAATTGAATCATTATATAATCATTATATAAGTTTTAGAGATTTTTAAAATATTGTTTCTGGTTTCTTTGATTTTGTTTGGCACAGCTTTTTTGATGCTTTCTAAAATGACTTTCTAGCACAAAATTTCTAATTCACAAAATTTTTGTACTAAAAAGCTGTTTTAGAAAGAAGCAAAAAACTATCCCAAATGAAGCCTATATCTTTTTCAATTCCAATCACTATTCTAATCAGTCTATTAATGAATTTAAATTTGGGTGTGGTGGTCCCTTGTGGGACTATAGTGGTAATGTTATTTTGGCATTTACTTTCCACCTCAATCAATGCTCAATTATTAATGCTAAATTGATTGCTCTTAACTATGCTTTAAACCTTTATACTACATTGGATATTCCTAAAATTTAGAATGAGGTTGATGCTTAACTCCTTGTTAATCTTTTTAAAAATTCTAATTTTTATTATGCAAACATATTTTATTTGTTGAGGGATATAAAGACTCCTCTTCTAACCATGTAATTTACCATCTCTCATGTTCATAGTGAAGTTAATTCATGTGCTAATTAGTTAGCTAAACATGGCTCAGGCCTAAAAAGCATTTGAGTTCAATTTTAGCTCTATACCTTTAGCTCTATGAGGACGATAAAGCTTGAATATAAAAAATAATAATTATCTATAAATTTATTAAAAAAATGTATTATGAATTTTATGTTTTTATCTCATATAATTACATCTCCACTAGTGTGGATTAATATATTTCTATATTCTTCTTTAATGAGGTCGATAATGGTACATTATTGATGCAGGAGTTTTATTAAGACTCTAAATATTTGATAGATTCTATATCTTTAAGATGTTATTTCATAATACTCCATTTCCTTATATGATTTATATGCTTATGACAAGGATCTTACGAAATTTGTTGAAACAATCATTTATCTAAAGCTTCATTTGGGACGGCTTTCTTATTGATTCTTAAAGCAGCTTTCTAGTATAAAAAATTAAAATTTTTAACTAGAAAGCTGCTTTAAGAAGCAATAAAAAAAATCATCCCAAACGAAGCCTAAAAGATCGTTATATCATCAATAGTTATGATATGGTAGCTTTCTAGATTCAGGTGAAATTTTTTTTCCAACATTTTCATTACAAAATTTTTTTTTTATGATACAATCATTGAGTGTTGGTTTGATATTATACTTGTTTAGCAAAGTTACTATAATGTTATTATAAATTATTATTTTTAATTAGGTAGTTCGTAGTCCTGATTGGATTTTTCTTTATTGTTAGTTGCCCCCTCTCTATATGTTTTTATAGGTGGAAGGCCTGACTGTAACACATCACCAACCTCAAATTGGAAGTCACAGGCTTTATCTACAGTGTTGAAGGCGTATGACGGTTATCATCACTGCAACCAACCCAACATAAATGAATTTGGATCAAAGATGATCTCCATGAACAAATGACGAGCATTCAAGAGAGAGAGAGAGAAAACTTTCTTCGAATCAAAGATTCAATGTTCATAGAAGTCTCCAAATTCCGATCAAATCAAAGATCAACAAATGCAAAGTAAATTTTTAGATCCCAATCAAATAAAAAAGGGAAAATGATCAAAATGATCCTTTAATTCTTTATGAAGGAATAAAATAATTCCCAACTATATTAAAAGATCATTTTGATCATTCAAATATCTAAAAAGAAATCAAAATAATCACCGGTGAAATTATTTTAGTCATCTTTAAAGAGTCAAGAAATCAAATGATCCTTTAATATAATTCAGAATAATTTTAATCCTCCGTAAAGAGTCAATGAAACATTTTTTATCTTTTCTCACCAATTCGTTTCCTCTTTATGAAAAGTTATTATTTCATTTGTTTATATTTAGTTCTTTTACTTATATAGTAGGTGTTAAAGTGGAGAACAATAACATTCAAAATCTATTTGATAAGCTGAGCAACTCTTAAACCAGAAAAAAACAAGAAATCTCTCCCCAAGCTTGGATTAGAATGGAAGTTCTGTTGTGCAATCAATGATAGGGAGATGGTGAGGGGCGAGCAATGAGAGAAAAGCTGAAAATTTAGGTCTACTAATTAAAAAAGAAAAAGTAGAGAAAACTTTTTGATGAAACTATGCATTTGCAATACTATAATTTAGGGGTGTCAATATCTGACACGACCCGACAACCTGACTCGGACCCGACCCGAAAAATCTGGGTTGGACCCGACCCGTTTGATAAACGGGTCGGGTCCGGGTTAACAAATTTGACCCGTTTGATAAAACGGGTCGGGTCGGGTTGACCCGGCGGGTTACCGGGTCAACCCGAAAACCCGTTTAATTTAAGAAAATAAAGAAATGTTTATGTACAAATGAGTTCCCCGATGCTCATTTGATGGATTCCCAGCCACTCCATAACAAGCTCCTTATCCTTATTCCTTACCCCGCCCAATGAGATCATTTTTAGGCAAAGGATCAGGTTTCACGTGATCCGTGCAGCTAAAGCTGCTGCTTTTGAGCTCCTGCATTGCGTGTTTTACAAGATGAAGGAAAGTATAAAACCAGCTGTTGCAACTTTATCAAGTTTTTGCACAGCCGTCTCCAGTCGCTTCTTGTCTTTGGTCTCCAGTCGCTTCTTGTCGTTTGCCAAATTTGACAAGTTTTTTCTTCATGGATTTCATGATGGAACGCACCCTTCTCAGCTTCTTGTCTTTGGTCACCTGCTTTCCAAGCTGAGCAGAACAACTGAAAAGTAAGAAAAAAAAAGATTGGAAGAACGTTGCCAGGTCGCGGGTCGGGTCGGGTCAACCCGGCAACCCGGCCGGGTCGGGTCCGGGTTGAAATGTTCGACCCGTTTGTAAAAACGGGTCGGGTTCGGGTTGACCCGTTTAGATACGGGTCGGGTCGGGTTCGACTCGAACCCGGCAGGTTGACCCGAATTGACACCCAGTATAACTATATATATATAAAAAAGAAAGAGGTACAACTATGAAGGTAAAAGCCATCACCATGTTCCTCCAAAATAGACAAAAAGGAAGAAGAAAGAATGTCACTATGACTATCTGTCCTTACAAAATTACAATTAAGAGCAACCTGCACACAAAAATCTGCAACCTTGTTGCAGGGATGCAAAGTAGAGTGAAAAAAACAACTTGGTGAAATTGGAGCAGAAACTCAATATCAGGAAAAATTATTGTGAGCGGACGCCGAATGCCGTCCGGAGACGAATCAGAATACATCATGTCACCATTTTATTGTACCACAGCTCCGTACTGTTCGGTACTGTGACTCGATACTGCAACTCGGTACTGTGACATTCAAACGTAGAGCTGCATCCGACGTCCGCACAGAATAATTTCTCCAATATTAGGAGCATCATCTAGTTTCAAAATCCAAGCTGAAGAGTGGAAGAAACTTTGAAGGTGACGAATTACATTCAAATTATCACATTCAATAATAATGCCGTTAGCTTCAAACATTGGAGTAAGAATGGATTGGAGGAGCAAAGCCGCCCGATGCTCCAACGTGGTCGCATCATGCTTACCCGCAGAGAAAACTTATTGAGTAAAAGTTTAAATCGGGAATACAGCTTTAATCATCAATCAAGCAAAACCAAATCCAATATTAACATTAGGAGCACTCTGTGAAATCTTCTGAAGAACTAGCAAAAGTTTCTTGTAAAACAAACTAGATTTGTCATATGATAACAAATTAATCAAGCATAAATAGTGAGAGTGCGCACACAGCTAAGCACAAGCTTATTTGTCAATCCAGCCATACAAAGGATAACGAGCACCATAGCTCTTTACAACAAGGATATTTTTCAGAATGAAGTTCCAAGAATCTGTAGGAAAAAAAGAAGAAAACAGCGCACACATTTCTAATAAGTGAACCTTTCTCTATCGTGGGGAGCGGAATAATCTATGTTGGGTCCAATTGGAATAACCCCAAAAGGATTAAGAGAAAGCATTCCATAGTAACCCTTCCTAATGTGTTCCATATTAACAGTGCTACTAATGCCAGAGATTTGGTAAATGTCTTTGGTGTAATTGAAGAGATTCGGATATTCACGGATGAGTTTCTTGCTGCATTTGAAATGAACAGCATAAACCTGTTTGAGAAAAGAATAAATTAGTAATATAATTATCAGCACAATGAAGAAATGATATAAACACGAATTACTTGGTTTTTCCAGTTTTGTAGACATTATAAGGAAAATTTTGTTAAAATCAATGAATTCAGCTTGAGAGTCTTGAAAAATATACAAAAAATGGCAATGAAAGATACTTCCAAAAAATGATAGAGGACATAGACCTGTAAATAACAAGCATCATTGATTGTTGATTTAATAGAAAATAGAAGGAACCTAATAGAGGTGTCCATAATTGACTCAATAAGAATGATGCATATTGGGTCAGATATGAGTTGATCTGAGAAATCTGAAAATAATCGAAAATAACCCTTTTATTTTGTTTGGCCTAGAATGCAATATTTCCTCAACTAGTCAACAACCCTCATTCACCTCAACGTGTCATATTCGGGTTGACACAAAAAAATGTTTGAACCATATACCTTAGTCATGTCCGAGATGTAGGATTTGGGTCAATCGGGTTTGTATCAAGTTGAGTTCAAGTCAGACATCTACATGTATAATAAACAAAAGGGTTAAGTTCAGGTCAATTAATTTTAGGTCATGTCAAATTCAAGTCAAGCCCCTTGGAATCTATTGCAGTTGGAGGTCATTCAGGAGTACAGAAGACTTATAGAAGGCTGACATCTGAGCTTTACTGGAAGGGGATGTATAAAGATGTTGAGGAGATGGTGACGAGATGTGAAGGGTGCCAGAGAAACAAATATATGGTCATGGATCCAGTAGGACTACTACAACCCTTGGAACTTCCAAACAGAGTATGGGAGGAAGTGTCCATGGATTTCATAGACGGCCTACCACGATCAGAGGGATTCACATTCATCATGGTGGTGGCTGACATACTTAGTAAGTATGCACAATTTTTCCTCTTACGACATCCCTACACCGCAGTATCAAGGGCAACAACATTTATTAGGGAGGTTATTAAACTACATGAGATTCCTGAATCGATTGTGTCGGATCAGGACAAAGTATTCCTTAGCCAATTTTGGAGGGAGATATTCAGGTTGCAGGGCACTGTTCTTAAGAGAAGCACTACCTACCATCCACAGACAGACGGGCAAACGGAGGTGGTGAACCAAAATTTGGAGACATATTTAAGATGTTTTGCTTCTTAAACACCATGGATGTGGGCAAAATGGTTATCATGGGCCGAGTATTGGTACAATATTTCGTACCATTCTGTGTCTAAGATGACTCCTTTTAAGGTGTTGTATGGAAGAGATCCCCCACACTTAGTGCATTTTGGGAGAGGAAGCACACCAGTCTCTTCAGTTAAGCAGTACTTAGAGGAGAGGTACAAGGTGTTCGAGGAGTTACAGAAACATCTGTTGAGGGAACAACAAATCATAAAAAAGCATGCAGATACAAATAAGAGAGACATATAATATGAAGTGGGGGAGAAAGTATTCTTGAAACTAAGACCCTACATGTAGAGATCAGTTGTAACAAGAGGAACGAGAAATTGGCCCCGAGGTACTTTAGCCTCGACGAGATTGTGGACAAGATCAGAGCAGTGATATATCGATTAAAATTATCCCCATCTGCCACCATACACCCAGTCTTCCATGTGTTGAGGTTGAGAAGAGATGTAGGGGAGCATGCAATTAGTGCAGAGTTGCCAACTACACTGATAGAGGAGTTGGAAGTGGTCTTATAACCACTAGAGTTAAGAGAGGTTAAATCGGGTAAAAGGGGAAACAAGGAAGTGCTTATCAGATGGAGAGATCTTCCCAATTTCAAGGTCACTTGGGAGCCATATGAGAGTGAGACTCCGATTTTCTTCTTTTCACCTCGAGGACAGGTGAGTCTTTAGAAGGGGAGTAATGTTAGACTGGCCCAAGAGGGGCAGGCTATTCCTATTGAACCGGTCCCTAGTGGACTGATTTTCTACAATAGCCGCCGACCTAGGGAAGGGAGACAGAAGGGGCCGACTGTTCCTATGGGGCCCACACCTTTATTAAAAATTGCTTTGGAGGGAGGGAAATATTTGATTAGAGGCTGTTTAGGTGTGGGCTCCGAAAATTCCAACAATGTGTTCTCGGCCTCTCCGCGCCAGTCTTTTTTTCTTTTAAGTGTAATGATGGCGGAGAGTTTTAACGAGCTTAGGTTTCGAGTTAATTTTCAAAAGGCATATTGGGTTTTAAATAAGACACTACACAGAGATTTCTCCCTCATTTTATGAGGATTTTATGATCTGAGTTCTGGTTTCCTATAGGTTCAAGCCCCTATAGTTAATTACCCCTCCTGATAACAAGAGAACTTTCGATTAAGACTAGTTATTGAAGAGATTTTATAGGTTGTAAACTCATCGTATAATAGCAACAATTTTAGGGTTTGAATTTGAGATATGAATTTTGGAGTTTATCACCATAAACTTAAAACTGGTGGTGGGGGGAATGAAGACGAGACCGATCAAGATCCCATGATTCTGTCATCCCGGGCTGTCATGTTACCTGGCAACTTAGTCAGAGGAGGTGGTCAACCCAACCTGACAGAATGTACCTTATCGGCAACCATGTGTTGCTTCATCCAAGAATACCTTGTAAACTTGGGTTGGTGTTTGTCTAAGAAGATATATCTGAGTCCACCTTAGCCGACAAAGAGCTTTGTGCCTATCGAATATACCATATGATTCATTACTCAAGAGTTTGAAGCCTTTAGGAAACATATGGACTTTGGCCATAATCGTAATATAATGATTCCATTTTGCAGCAAAACCACCCGATCAGAGGGCACATGCCATATCTCTACTGGCAAGATACTATTTGAGAATGAATCTTAGTGATACACCTGATATGTATTCGCTCTTTGTGAGCTAACGTTAATTTCAAATTTATCACCCCTAATAAACGGTTGCGGAAGTTGGATGATTTTTTAGTTTTAAGTTTTAAGGAGATGTATTTCATTTCAAGAATATTGGTTTTTTTTTAGATTTAAGAATTGACCCTTCTGGTTGAGATTTTCTGTCAACACGATCATCATCGGAGTGACATTAAAGATAATTATATTTTCGTAGAAATTTGGGAGGCATTTTGCAATTTGAGTCATGTCGACTCCAGTCTTTTCGAGGAGGAGGATGAGACTTGAATATTAGATCCGCGCAGCATTCTCGAATCGTTGGATTTGGGACTCAGATGTGACGACTGGAGCACATGCGGGTTATATTTATTTTGAAAATAGAATATTACATTAGTAAGAATTTGACCCTGCGCCACATTCTTGGACATTTGTATTTATAACTTAAACATGTTTGTCGGAGCACATCCAAGTTTGTAGCATTTAACCCTACGCAGCATTCTCAGAAATTAGTGTTTGTACTTTTAACACGTTTATCAGAGCATGTGCATGGTATATGCGCTTTAGTTTAAGGGATCATATTTAATATATAAGAGACATTTTAAAATATTTAAATATAATCCACTGTGTTAGCGATTTTATTTAGCAATGCCCAAGATTTCATTTAAGTGCATATGAACACCTTATGTCCTCTTGTACACATGTTACGGAACCGGTGGCGTTTGAGATATGACATTTAGGAGCTTTGGTGCACCACAACATGTTTTTAACATTAAACTTTATATTACAATGATGTCAATTAATATATTGTTTCATCTAATTTTGCATAGAGTTTATATTTTATTTAAGTTATTGTTGGACTACTAGCAAACTACACCCTTTCCTTGTCCTTGTATATTCTTGAGACAAGATATATTTATGAATTAAAATATTGATAAAGCTTCTCAATTAAAGATTATCTCACAACATCCAAAGCTACAGATATTGAAGAAGCCAAAGGAGGAGTGTTATAAGGCCAAGAAAAAAAACATGTGTCAAAAGCCGATGAGTTTTAATTAACACCCTTAATAGAGTTATACCAAGTATAGTTTTATTGCATGGGTAAGTAAATTCTCATTCCGCCATTCATTACTCTTTTCAATTGTCTAGGATTTGATGAGAAGATTATTTTATGAAGTTCTTGAATCTCTATTTTATCATTATATGACATTGATATCATTAAGGTATAATCATTGATAATAGTAACTTTCATAATTGCAATATTATAGTCCATAACCTTCCTCAAAATAGTTTCAAGTTTGCATTTTCATCTTTGCAATATGAATATACCCTTTAACTCATAGCTTCATGTTTCGTTCTAATACTATGTTGTTAAAATCAAGTTCAAATCTGAATCCAGTTCGAGTTTAAGTCCAACATCATTTGTTCAATTTTAATTTAAAATTGATTTTATGTTTGAATTATGTTCAAATCAATTTTCAATTTTCTGTCCAAGTTCCCTGTTGTTCACTGAAAATTTTGGCAAGCTCCTGGCGTCCCCTCCCCAACGCCGGGAGGTAAGGAGGGCAGTTTCCCTTTCAGTCCGCCCAGATGAGATCGTGGGTCGTTTCTGTGGGTGGTTGAGTTGTGGGTTCTTGGGGGTCTATGAGGTGGTCAGCAGTTACGGTCAACATTAGGGATTTTGTATTTCTCCTTCGACTTTGATTAGTTATTAATGTTAGAATTAGAGTTTCATCGAAAATTTGAGAACTTCCTTGTGCTTGGGCTCTAGGCGCTTGGCTAGGAATTTGGTGAGTAGTGTCTTCCTCTCGAATTGAAGAAACTTGTATCATTTCTTGTTTTTCTTTGTTTGCTAGTAAAATCAATCATTTTTCACTCAGATTTCTGAAGTTTTCTCAAGTGGTTGTTGTCCTATTGCGATTTTGCCTTCAAAAAAGGAGGTGACTATTTCTTACCATAATCAAATAATTTCCAACCAGAGAACGTCATCCCAAATATCAACATCAATTCAAAAACTTTTAAATTGGCTATAGTATTTATAAAGATGCCAAAAATATATATTCATAGTGAGGTACATCATTGTCTTCAATATTCAAATGAAAATCCTAATAAGAAATTCTCTCTAAAAGGGGAAGAAATTAAGCAATGGAAAAGCTTATAAA